GTTCTAAGGCAGCTAGCTCTAGAGTGGGAGCCTTTCATATGATGAATGCCATGGAGATGAAGGCTTCTATAGGGAGGCCTAAGAAGAATGCCAAGAGAAGCAAAGTGGGCAAGCATTCAGAGCCTAAACAACTTGTGGAGTCTAAAGATGAAGGCAAAGAGAAGAAACCCATGTATAGTGGGAAATCATCAGGCAAGTCACCCACAACTTTGTTGTTGGAACTGAAGTTGAAAGACTTGGGCTATCTTTAGAGAAGGATGGCAGCTGCATCAAGGCGGTTAACTCGGCAGTGCAGCCCATATATGGGGTTGCAAAATCTATTCATTTGAAGGTTAGCACTTAGGAAGGAAGAGTAGATTTCACCGCAGTACCCATGGATGACTTCCAAGCCATCCTTGGTTTGGATTTCTTGAGAAGCACAAAGACAATAGTCATGCCTTATTCTAATAGTGTGTCATGGGGGACAAGCCATGTCTTATTCCTGCTATGGCCATCACCAATAGTGACTGATTTGTCTCAACTATGCAACTCAAGACGGGTGTTAGGCATGGTGAACAGACTTGGGTTGCCGCATTGAAGTTGAATGAAGCTCTTGAATCTACTCCTATCCCAGCCGCAGTCAAGAAGGTCTTAAGGTAATTTGCAGATGTTATGCTTGAACAGTTGCCTACGGAGTTGCCTCCATGCCGGGGTGTGGATCATGCTATTGAGTTGGTGCCAGCGGCAAAGCCACCAGTTCATGCACCGTATAGAATGGCTATTCCTGCGTTGAATGAACTAAGGAAGCAGCTTATGGAGTTATTGGAAGCAGGCTTCATTAGGTCATCAAAGGCCCCATTTGGTGCATCTGTCTTGTTTTAAAAAAAGTATGACGGTAGTCTTTTGCTTATGTGTGGATTATCGGGCACTCAACAAGCTGACCATCAACAACAAGTATCCCCTTCCTTTAATTGCAGATTCATTTGATCAATTGAGCAAAGCGAGTTATTTTACAAAGTTAGATCTTCGATCGGGGTACTATTAAGTAAGAATTGCTGAGGGGGACGAGCCCAAAACTACATGTGTTACTCGCTATGGTTCCTATGAGTTCCTAGTCATGTCATTTGGCTTGACCAATACCCCAGCAACATTTTGCACCTTGATGAATGAAGTTTTTCAAGAGTACTTAGACCAATTCGTGGTAGTATACTTAGACAACATTGTAATTTATAGCTCACTCTAGAAGAGCACGTGGAACATCTCAGGAAAGCATTGTCCAAGTTGAGGGAGCACAAACTTTATGTCAAGCTAGAGAAGTGTCCTTTTGCCCAAGAGAGGATTAAGTTCCTAGGACACATTGTTGAGTATGGATGCATCAAAATGGACCAAGAGAAGGTCAAGACTATTCAAGAGTGGCAGCCATCCACAAGGCTGGTGCCACCAACCATGTTGCAGATGCACTAAGTAGGAAGGTGGAGCTTGCCGTGTGCCAACATGTATGTTCACTTCTATTTCAACCAGCATCAAGGAGAAAATCAAGGCTCATCTAGACAAGAATACTATGGTAGAGAATCTTATGAACCTTGTCAAAATGGACAATACTCGCCAATTTTGGGTGCAAGATGGACTACTAATGGCATTAGGCAACCGTGTCTTTGTACCCAGGGCTGGTGATTTGAGAAAGACACTTCTAAGGGAGTGCCATGATACACTTTGGATAGGACATCCGGGTTGGGAGTGAACATTGGCCTTGGTGAAGCAAGGATATTATTAGCCTCAGATGCGTGATGATGTGGAAGAATATGACCGCACTTGTCTCACTTACTAGCAAGACAAGGTTGAACATAAGAAGAAAGCAGGCTTGCTTGAACCTTTGCTCGTGTCTAAACGTCTGTGGAAAAGTGTATCACTTGACTTCATCATTGGACTACCTAAAGTGGGAGATATCAGGACTATCTTGACTATTGTGGACCGATTTTCCAAGTATGCCACATTTGTAGCTACCCGAAAGTATGTTTCAGTGGAGGAAACCGCCCAACTCTTCTTCAAGCACATTGTTAAATATTGGGGTGTGCCTAAAAGTATTGTTAGTGACCGAGATTCGCGTTTCGTTGGCAACTTCTGGACGAAGTTATTCAAGCTTCTTGGGTCACAACATAATACTTAGGAGTATTTGCGCCACTTTGTCAATGCTAATCAACGAAATTGGGTGCAACTTCTTGATGTAGTACAGTTATGCTTCAACTCTCAAAAGAGTAGCTCTACGGGCAAGAGTGCTTTTGAGATAGTGAATGGACAACAGCCACTGTTGCCCCACACAGTGGATGGACCTTATGAAGGAAAGTCACCCAGGGCTTACCAATTTGCCAAGGAATGGAAGAGAGACCATGACATTACTCGTGCCTATCTCGAAAAAGTAGCAAGTAAAATGAAGAAATGGAATGATCAAAAGAGGAGGCTACATGAGTTTAGAGTTGGAGATCAAGTTCTTGTCAGACTCAATCCTGAGCAATGCAAGTTCATGAGGGGAAGAGACAAAAGGCTAGTGTGCAAGTATGAGGGACCGTTCACTATTCTGAAGAGAATTGGCAAGTGTGCTTATAAGATAGATGCTCTATCTTGGCTAAAAGTGCACCCCGTTTTCTATGTGTGTTATTTGAAGCCTTACTTTCCAGGCAAGGAAGATTCAACCCGAAATGAGCTGAAATGCCAAACCATCACAGCCAAAGCAGGGAAAAAGTCTGTTGAATCTATCTTGGCTAATCGGGTGAAAATGGTTTCCAAGAAGAAACCAAGGCAATACTTGATAAAATGGAGAGACCTTGGAGATGAAGAAATCAGCTGGGAAAGGGAGGCGGATTTGTTGGCTTTTCAAGACGAGATTGATGCTTATTGGGCAAAGTCGTCGAGGGCGTCGACCGTTCAAGTGGAGGAGACTATCAAGGTGCGCCCATCCAAGGGTTAACACCTTGATGCCACACTCATTTGTGCCCTTTGGAGAGCCAAAAACATGCCCAAGAAGTTGTTGGTGCAAGTGCAAGCCAAGGCCCAAGGCATGGTGTAAGACAGCCCATGGCATGCCATGAAGCAGCCCATGCCAACAAGAAGCCCAGCAGGAACTTTAGGCCAACTTTTGGAGGGTCAAATGTAATCTTTTTGCCTTGTAAATTTTTATGTAAATACCTTAATATTAAAGGTGTTTTGGGTCCAAATATTGTAATTTTTCTTTTTTTGTAGAATTTTTAAAAATCTATTATCACTCCTCAAATATAATGGATGTTTCCTCTTGCCAACTAAGAAATGGCTTAACAAGCTATATTAAGGAGGGGGTACCCAAGTGTTGAACCAAACTACTTGTGCCTTTAAAGTACCCCAACCTCGCCAATGGTAAGGCAACTCTTGTAGCACTTTTGGTGCATTGTTCAACTATTGTAATGCCTTCTTTTGATCAATGAAAAGTTTATTTCACCTTTAAATTGTGCAAAGCTTTTCTAGTGTTGCTTGCTTTAAATTTAGCTTGTTGCTTGCTAATTTGTGGCTTGTCTCCAACCTAGTGGCTCATAAACTAACTTAAATTGTGGTTGTTTGTCTTTGCAAACACTTTGAGCTTTATTGGTAGACTAGTGAGGAGAGTTAACTAGCGCCACACACACTTGCTTATCTCTTGACAAGGCTTCCGCACAGCCGGTGTGTGACACTGAGCCAAGCCAGATTGGGTTATCGAAAAATGGATCAGATCTGACCCTATACCGGCATTTATTTTTTGGACAATTTATTTATTTAATATTTAAAATTTTGCTCCAACAGATAGATTGGTTTGCAATTGGATGCATTTGTTGCCTTCATGACTGTCGAGAACAGCCACGAACAACTCTATAAACACCATCCATCCCTCACTTGCATTTTCACCAGTTTTGTGTTGGCAATCATACTATCAGTAGAGTTTGTGAGAGATAGTTCAATCACAGTTTTGGTTCGCTAGGCACACAGATACAGTGCTGCTTCCCTGTGTGTAACGATCATTGTATCATGGGAGGTAGACATCCAAGAAGTTTGTAAGCACTAGTGTGAGAGACGAATTCTGTCTTAAGGACATAATGTCATACGCTAGCCTTGATCATTCCGTTTATCCAAGTTTTGTAAGTTTACAGTTTTTGTAATTTTCTGTTTCTGTTTAATATAAACAGTTTCACATTCTGTTTGTCACTGTTTTGTTTCTACACTGTTTTGATTTTCTAGAACAGTTTCTGATTTCCTGTGTTGTTTAGTTTGTTTTACAATTACAGTAGTACATATAGCACTGTTTTTCCAACAAGAGGCAGAACTAATAATAGTGTTACTAAGCTCAATGTACTTAAATGGTTATGGTATTTTCTCATGACTGCAAATTTTCAAGAAATAGGAATAGTTGTTTACATTCTCGTACTGAGTTAGTTTTCTCTGTAGTGAGCTCTGTTACATGGGCTTAGGTTAAATATAGGCATTGGTGTGCGTCTGTCTAGATGTTGGTTCTTCCCAACTCCAACCTCAACCTTAGGATACAGGGATATTTACCAAAAGTTGGATTAGGTACATAGACATGTTTTGTGCCTTTAAATACATGTATTTTGCATAGCATTTTATTGGAGGATGTTGTTATCATTTTAGTGCAAAAAGTGAACTTTATGTCCTATCCATGTGAGAAGCTAGAAAGCATTCGTCCCTGTCAATTATGAGCTACTTCTCACATCATGAGATATAAGAGGTTCCAAGTATCTAATTTTCATACAGGGTTTAGATACTCATCCTCTACACGTACCCATGTAGTCAGTTTATACATGACACCAGATGAGAAGTAAAAGTTTAAGCCCATGCAGTTAGTTTTTTCTGCCCAATGGCAACCTGGCTTCTCTATGACATTACTATGTAATGAAAATTTATTTTTTTTCTGTATTCTTAAATGTTGTTGAAACAATGGGTGGAAAGCAAATTATTTATGTATTACATGGTAATTTTATGTACCTTGGTGTTCTTGTTTGCAGGATGCATGCTGGCCCTGTGACATGCTTAGGTTTAAGTGATGATCAATTGATTGTCTGCGGTTCCTCTCTTGGTAGTGTGTCGCTGTCAGATCTTTCCTCTGATCAGCGGGTAGCTGCATTAAGGTCAACCAATTCTGGAGGTTGTATGATATCCCTTCTCTATTAATATACATCTAATCATCATTGCATTTCTGGCTATACTTGTAGTTTGTTTCAAATATACACCTCTAGACACATGTGCCTGTGCTTGTATGCCTTTCGATGAGAACACTAAGGAATTGCATGAGTACAACCAGGACAGAAAAAAGGTGGGGAGGATATACAACTCATTGCACCAGCCAAGGAAAAAGAATGTGAAGGCTAACTCAAACTCCCTACCCCTACAAGGACCTAAAGAGGGATTAAATGACTCCTCACTGGGATGATTCAATGGCAACCATGCTCATTAACCAACCCAGGAAACTATTGAATACCCGCTTTGATGAGGAGAGCCGAAAATTCTCTTCTTAACTTTAGATATCTCTATGTTTGCTCATTGGTTGGAAGGCATTTCGCCTAGATTGGGAATGTCTCTATCTCTCATAAGAGTTTTTCATCATTTTTCTTGTAAAATTCTCAATAAAACTGTTTTCATTTTGAGAGATAGAAGTTTTTCAAAATAGGAAATTTAATCTATATTTGTTTGCTTAATATAGTAAAGTTAGCATTAATAATTAGAATATGAACATCTTTTGGCAATGATTCACGTATCAAGAATTAGTAGAGCTCGCTCTTTGATAGAGGGAGCTGGGAGTGCTCAATTCACGACATTTCCCCTTTCATACCTAAACTCCCGAATCAAACTTTTTGGTTATGATGAGTAGTGTGGCCTATATGTTAGTGTTTCCCCCCCCCCCCCCCCCAAAAAAAAATAAAAAATCTGGCATTCCCAAAAATTTGGAAAGACCACTTTGTACAGAAGGTTGTCTCAGTGTTACCAGAAAGCGTTGATAGTCTAGCGAATTACGATTTGGATTGCACGTTCCAAAATATGTGCACTCCATTCCAAAACGGTAACATTGTGTTTCGATCATGGATTTGGATAGGAATTTAAACAGGGAAAGGGAAATGGGAAAAAAATTTATCTTATATTTCGGGATCATTTGGTAACTCAATATTTTAGCCAAAAAGATATTGAAATAGTCAAAAAGCAAACAAATTTTCAATTCATACAAGAAAGTCAAAAATTCCTTCCCATTCACTCTACTGTTTGTACTTCTTTTCGTAAAAAGCCAAAAAGTCGTTTCCAAACATATTTAGCATGCTTGGTTATCATTTTTCAAAAACACTTTTCAGAAAATTCTACTTTTTTATTTTCCGTATTTTTTTGTTTTTACTGAATTTTTTTAATATTTTGAGCAATTTTTAAAATTTTTAGACATACCTAACATATATATATCCCAGTGTTACCAGAAAACGTTGATAATCTAGCGAATTACGATTTGGAATGCACGTTCCAAAATATGTACACTCCATTCCAAAACGGTAACATTGTGTTTGGATTATGAATTTGGATAGAAATTTAAACAGGGAAAGGGAAAAGGGAAAAAAAATTATCTTATATTTCGGAGTCATTAATATTTTAGCCAAAAAGCTGCTAAAAAAGTCAAAAAACCAACAAATTTTCAATTCGTACAAGAAAGTCAAAAATTCCTTCCCATTCACTCTACTATTTGCACTTCTTCTCGTAAAAAGTCAAAAAACCCTTTCCAAACATATTGTTTTTTTCATCTCATAATTTAACCAAAAAGCCACTTCCCAAATGGGCATCGCATTTTACTCACCTTTTATCTTTCCCTTTCTAACTCCATACCCAAATCCATGATCCAAATACAACCTAAAGTTTATCAATCCAAAACAATCTCAAAAGTTTTTTTTTTCAATATATTTCCTTTTATCAAATATAATGAACTAAAATATAAGGTGAGTGAGGTTTTGACAAAACAAAACGTCATAAATAGGTCACAATGCTCATAAAATTGTGTTGCTACATGATTAATTTTGAAAATAACCACATTTTATTGAATGCCTAGTTAAAATAAATTGCTCTAGACTAGAAGTACCTTAAATTCTTAGTGTAAACTATACAAGTTATCCCTATCATACCACAATTTAGAACATGTAGTGTACCGTGCTCTTGTTTCCGTTCCACATACTAGAATTGTCCACGTTCTAGGTAACATAGGGTTGTCCTTTGAAATTTAATGTCTCATATAATTGTCTCCAAAAAGTTAATTTGGCCTCCTATTAAGAAGCCATTAGTAATCACGTATTAAAAACAACTTCTAATAATTTAATAAATAAGAAATATAGTCTACTTTTTTATTTTTGTAAAATCATATTAAACAAACAGAAAAAACATTTGCTAAAAGCAATTAAATTTTGTTAGAGAAAAGAGATTGATTTTTTATGTGGTTTCCTATAGTTTTTTAATTGAACCACTTGTGAAGCTTTATGAGCCTAAGAACATTGATTAATATTCAAATAATTACATAGACTTATGAGAAGTGAGTAACATGTCTATATTGAGGCTCCTCTCCTAAAATTTTCGACTAGGTTAATTGGCCTATATTAAATAATGTTTTAATAATTATTTAATCTATTAAAACCCTGTCCGACCTACCATCTGTCCGGAGAAATTTGCCCCATCAGGCCCCCCCAGTGAAGGAGTCCTGGCTCTGCCCCTGACTTTTACTCTTTGGAAAAAGAAACATGTTGGGAGGAAAAGAAATGGGTTTTATCCTGAATTCTTTTTAAGGTAATGCTTCGAACTTGAAGAGAGTTTTTATCAATAAGAAATTTCATACAAGCAACTGTGCCAGCTGAATGTCGCAACATTTTAGCCCTTTTTCTCTCGTCTGAAAACCCACAACTGAGGTCTTAATCATGAACTGAAAATGTGCTGTCACCCTGATCCAGCTAATGTCAACTAAACATATTCATTAATCATTAGCAGGAAGAAACCCATATGTTTGATAATCGTGTCTTCCTAGTAAATAAAGTTAAAGTTACTGTAGCAGTATAGAGATGATGGTTAATATGGAAATAAGAGAAACCATGCAATTACTCATTTTGAGCTACATTTTGACTTATCTTTTCATTTTCCTTTTTGACTTAGTATTAGAGACATGTCTGTGCATGTTGAACAATGATTTTTTCTATCTCTGGCACCAGTAAGGGCACTACTAACATGTTCCTCGAATGGAATTGCGTAAGGACTATGATGATTTATTGGTTACCTTTTATGTATTTTAATTTAATGAATGGCTCTCTGAAATTTTGATCATATACACTTTTGTCCTTGTTAAATTGAGTATTCTTCATACTGTGAAAACGTAAAAGGTTTTTAACAATTTGCATTTTAATATGGTGTATTTCTTTAGTATACTGCTTTCATTTGATATTTTGCAGTAGCTAGATTTTTCTTCTCTCTCTCTCTCTCTCTCTCTCTCTCTCTAGAATTTGTTGCGGCATTGTATCTTGCAGTTAACAGAACAAGAACGTGTTTCTTATCTCATGACAGGCGTAAGGACCTTGTGTTTCAACCCTAGTTCACATTTAGTCTTTGCTGGATCAACTGCAGGATATGTATCTTGTTGGGACCTTAGGTATGCCAAACTTGTTAAGACACTGTATCATTTCATCGATTTCAGTTCTCTTATTGGTTGAGTCCATCATATCACATGAACTCATGCTAAATAAGCTACAACATCCTATTGCATTCTCTCTCATATATAACCTGACAGTAATGCATATTTGTGGTAATAACTGAAACTTGAGGCAGTGGCTTAAGTAAAGGTATCATAGTTGTCAAATCGGGATTCGTATCATGAATCGAAGTAGCCTCGTACCAAATCGCGAATTGAATTGAATCGCGAATCGTAAAGATTCGGTCATTTTTTCTAAATTACTTAAAAACTTATATCTACACATTTAAATATTAAATGTATCTTATGAATATGAAATATTTAGACTTAAATAAATGAAAATGTTATTTTAAATGATAATCACGTAATTTGATGGCTAAAAAAATTAACCAAAGTTCATTTGTAAGATTACCATCTTACCTTATTTATTTATTTATGTTTTTAATAGATATTTCTTATTAACCATTCTTAATAAAGATAATAGCCAAATAGACAAACTATCAATTTTCAAAGTAATAATAATTAATAACGATATTAATATTTGGACAATAAGCATATATACATTTCTAAGTAACAGTAAGCAAATAACAAGAAACAATTATTTCAAAACTTTTATTTTAAAACTTAAAACATTTTAATAGGTATAACTGACTTCACACATGTAATATTCAATTATATTCAATTTAATAAAATAGTAATAGATAATTGGGTAAATTACAAATACACCCCTTGATATTTGATTAAAATACGAATTGCCCCATATAGTTTTGAAAATTACATTCTACCCCCTGAGGTTTCTAATTTCATAGTAAATCGCTCATTTTATTAATAAATTATCAAGTCAATTAACAGTTTTTAATGATGTTAAAAATATGTTTTAATTAACAATTTAGGTAATTTTATTATTGTATAGGATAGCAACTATGAATTTCATTTTTTTAGTTAATTCTGTTAAATAAAAAATTCTAATAAGGGGGTATTTGTAATTTGTCAAACCACAGGGGCAATCTATATTTTAAGTAAACCTCAAGGGGTGTATTTGTAATTTACCCTAGATAATTCTAGTGTAACTTTAATCTTGAACATCTTTAGAAGATATATTATGCTTTTTTAAAGGGGGAAAAAATGAGAAAAAAGGTTAAAAATATGTTGGGTTTGACTGAATCTAATTAGATTCTATTAAAAATTCCATGATCACTAAAATAACAACAAATCATGTATATATGTTGGTTATTTTGGTATTAAATGCTATTAGAAGCTGTATTATGTCATTTTCACTACAAAGATGGAGAAAAAAAGAGTCGAAAATATGTCGTAGACAATAATTTCAAAAATTGTATGAATCTTAAAAAGTGAATCAAATTCTGAATCGATTGTGAATCATATGATTCACTCGAGATTCACTTCCAAAATAGATTCATCCATAGATTCGTATCGATTTTGCAAAAATTGCGAATCAAATCGTGAATCAAATCGCGAATCATAAGATTCTAATAACAGAAAAAAGGTATTAATAGAAAAAAGTTCTTGAGCTTTAGCTTAACACTTGGATTTATCTTCGTGCTACGACAAATTGATTGAAAATGAGAACCTTCAACAAAATTAATTAAACATAAAATATGATCATACTTGGTAGTGGAAAAATTGGGTTAGTTCCATGCAATTTTGAATATTTATGAAAGGATAATATTTTGGTCCCTCCAAAATCTAAATAATTTTACTTTGTCCCCTCCAAAATCTAAATAGCAATTTCTGGGTCCGCCACCACAAATGGTACTCCACAAGGAAACAGCATAAGCACTGTTTTAGCATTACTAGAAGGCAGTGCACATGCAGTGCATGTGAGAATGTCAATTTAGGATAGAGTCATGTAATCCTGTAGTAGCAGGGGCTACTGGGAAATGTGAGCCAGAAAATTGAGAAAGAGACAGAGAGAAGGGCCTGCTAAGTTTCACATAACATTGTTATATTTTGGGTATGTTTTATGAAGTTTATACAATGTGATTATACTTGGCCCCTCTAATTTTCTTATATTATTATTTATATACTATATTTAAATACACCTAATCTCCTGAAAGGATTTTTTTACTATAAAATAATTAAGTATTACTTTTTCTTATTGTGATTGTGTTATGAACATTAAAATATTACAAATTATTGTGGTGAGAAAAATTATGGACCATTGTGGTGATTTAGTTTAAAAAATTGTATGATATACACGTTTTACACTGTGATATGTAATTCATTACCATTCATATATGGAAAATGCTAAAACAGCCTTACAAATTACAACTGTTGTTAGTGTTGAAGCAGTGTGTAAAAATTGTATTGAAATTTGTGAAGTGTTTTGGGATATGTGAAAATAGTATTGGGATTACAATTTTTTGGCATTTTGTGGTACTTAATTTAGCTGGACCCTTCATATTGAAGAATTAATGAAAAAAGAGGAGAGAAGAGAGAAGAGAGGCACCAACATGAGAGAGAGAGAGAGAGAACCAAGGTTCCCTTTCTGTTCTTTTAATATTTATTCTTATGTAAAAGATTATGATAATACCCTTCTTACTAATAACCAACACATATTATGGTGCATCATTGAAGTTCAAGTTGCTAGAATACATTTAGATTGTTCTCATTATTTCATAGCTTATCTATGAAGTGATTTATTCGTTTTAATAATTATTTAATTCAAATCCTGGCTCAGAGAGAGAGAGTTGCGGGGCGGTGTGTGGTTCTTTGGGAGTTTGTAAGCAGCACATCGACAGAAAGACTAGCAGAGAGAAATAAAAGTTGTATGGAAAGTGAGACATTTGAGGCGCTTTTTGTTGATGTAGGTGTAATTTCAGGATTTATTGTCATAAAAATAAACAGGAAGACAAAAGTTACTTATAATTAGCTATATTTTAGCTCATCATATTTAAGCTTATTAATCAATTATTTGTAGAATTCAAAAATTAAAACCAGTAAATCTGCCAGCTTGTGATTGGTTGAATCAACCACAAAATGCCATGAGCTGGCTACCTTTTGTACTTTTAATTATCTGGTTAACACAACTATATGTTTTCTTGTCATACCGTGGGTTTGTGAATAAATTTTTTGTAGAACTACAAAGACTTAAATCAGTAGAATTATCTGCTACTGATTGGTTGATTGTGAACCATGATGGGACACAAAAGAACACAAAGGCGCCAGTGCTTTAGAAAATCTAAGAAAAAAATTGATGGCATTTTTTTTTCTTGGAAGTTCTTTTGTGATTTTATTTTGGAAGACCTAATCATAATCTAGAACGTATATGATCTTATTCTGTTATATTGCAGGACAATGAGGACTTTATGGAATACCCGAGTGAGTCCAAATGTTATATATTCTATGCATCACTTGCGAAGTGACAAATCAACATTAGTTGTGGGTGGAATAGATGGTGTGTTACGATTCTTGGACCAGGACTCAGGTGAGGTTTTTTCAAGGTGCATTATGAATGAAAGCAGCAGCAGCATATCAAACTCCTCGAGAGATTCATATGGAGTCATCGAAGTAAAGAAAGCAAGAAGGCTCTCAGAAGATACTCGCATTGATCTCATTCCTAAAACTTCTCGACCTTCTGTAAGATGCTTGGCTGTTGGAATGCAAAAGGTCGTCACAACACACAATGAGAAATATATCAGAGTATGGAAATTCAACAGATAACCGAATGTTTCTTTTCTAAAGCAGATATTTTGATCTTTGAAGTGTTGAACAAAATATGGGAATAACAAAAATAGGTTCAGACATTGTAGAAGCATGATGGTTTCCAACAATATTTAAGTGATTGTTAGTTTTCAAAGTAGTTTGATGTATTTCATATTTATGTATGTGTTGTACTCTTACCTATTTATTATGATCTTTTCAAGACTAGATCAATAAAATTCAGATTATTCATCTTGCCTTCAAGGCATTAGGGGGAGGTGTAGCTTAGTGATTTTTTCAAGAATGAATTGTTTTTACAGCTTTTGTCACAATTGATGGTAAGTGAATAAATGTGTCTTTCTATTTCATTCCATCAATTGACTCAGTTGTTTTTGGCATTGGATCTCTTTGGTTGGAATACAAAGTACTTTCCGTTTGAGGCATTATTTCATATTTTGATTGTTGCTAACAGTTGTGTGTCCTGGAACCTGTATTTATTCACCAGTTATCAGCCATAGAGAAATTAGTTCGATTTGAAAGGCTCTCCTCTTGGGCTGAGCATTCATTCTTGATCAAAATAGCAAATGAAGATGTGCTTCAGTCATTTCCAGATGAGGCAGCTGCTTTTATTTGCTGTTATATTGCTTCAATAGTTTTTGGTAGTGAATTGAATCCTTGAGTGTCAGGGTTATTTCATACGAAGACACTTCAGCTATTAGTTAACATTATTTTTCTCATCTATGAATCTATATATTTTGACCCATTCAATTATAAAAATATTTCATTTTCAGCCCCAGTGGATTCGTTCTAGATCATCTTCAAAAGGGTTATATTTGTAAGATTTTCATGGTTGTACACTAATTTTGCAACTCTAAGAACTCAATAGAAATTTGCAGTCGTAAAATTTCACTAACTATAATGAAAAATTCATTTACGTTTTGGCATAAATAATGTTCAACTGATTAATTGTTTAAGGATAGCAATTTCTGTAAAAAATTTCACTAACTATAATGAAAAATTCACTAACGTTTAGGTATAAATAATGTTCAACTTATTCATTGTTTGAGGATAGCAATTTTTGTAAAAATTATGTTTTTTTTTTTAAAAAAAGAAAAAAGAAAAAAAAAAAAGAAAAAGTGGCCCATGTACGGCAATTTTGCAACTCTAAGTTGAAATTTGCTTGTAAAATTTTACTTACTATAATGAAAAACTCACTGACGTTTAGGCATAAATAATGTTCAACTAATTCATAGTTTGAGGAGAGCAATTTTCGTAAAAGTTGAGTTAAAAAAATATATAAAATAAAAATAAAAAAAGAAAGTGGCTCATGCACACCAATTTTGCAACTCTAAGAACTCAATTGAAATTTGTAGCTAGTTATAAAATTTCAATAACTATAATGAAAAATTCGCTGACGTTTTAGGTATAAATAATGTTCAACTCATTGTTTGAGGATAGCAATTTTTGTAAAATGTACCTGTTTTTTTATTTTTTATTTTTTTTAATTTTTAAATTTTATAAAAAAGAGTGGCTCATGTACACTAATTTTGTAACTCCAAGAACTCAATTGAAATTTGCAGTCAGTTGTAAATTTCACTAATTATAATGAAAAATTGCATAAATAATGTTCAATTGACTCATTGTTTGAGGATAGCAATTTTTGTAAAAATTATGTATTTATTTATTTTTTTATAAAGAAAGAGTGGTTCATGTACACCAATTTTGCAACTTTAAGAACTCAATTGAAATTTGCCGTCAGCATAATGAAAAATTTACTGACGTTTAGGCATAAATAGACTCATTATTTGAGGATAACAATTCTGTAACAATTGCGTATTTTTTAAATAAAAAAAATTATATTCATTGTAGGTCTTATCTAATAGATATTGACGGTTAATTTCTAAAATTACAGATTTATGAAAAACTTAAATTTGAATAAAAAGTTATTAAATTTTCTAAGTTTTCAAAATAATTTAAAATTAAAAAGCATTGAAATGTTAGTTATGTCTTAGTGTATTTTGGTTAAAAATTTGACCTCTAAAATATTAGACGACTGCAAACTTTGGGTAAATTAAACTTTGTTCCCATATGTTTGACTATGTTTTTTATTTTTTTATTTCGGACATTCATGTTTCAAGATATTTTTTTTTATCAATTTACTCTTAAAGCTAATTTATGTTCAAAATTAAATAGAAAATACCATGTCAGCTGTCATATGACATAAAAAATATATTATTATAAAATAATGTTATACATAACGTCACTTTTAGATACAAAACAATAGGACCCATACTCATAAATGTATAAGGGAACCCACCCACTTGTATTTTTGATTGAGAAAATGAGGTAAAAAATATGATTATATGTAGTATTGACAAGCTAATTACATGTTGCGATAACATAAAAAAATAAGAAGCTATTGACAAGCTTAATTTGTTACTAGTAAAACTTACCAATGGCAGGTAAACAACAAATTGATTATTATAAAATATAAATTGTTTTATACAATAGACATTAATTATTTTCCCACATAATGATAAATTACCATTGGAAATGAAATGAAAAATGGTGCTAAACCTTAATCAAATGCTAAAATTAGACCAAAAATCTAATTGAAAAACAAAAACAAAAGGATAAATAAAGGCCTTGGAACAAGCAGAAAACAATGTTGATTATAGTAGAATAGAAAAAAAAAAAAAAAAAAAAGAAAAAAGAAGAAGAAGAAGAAGAAGAAGAAAAGAAGAGGGTGCAATAGTTAATGAAGAAGTGTTGTAGAATTGGGGAGAGGTGTCCCAGCCAGGAAGTGCACAATAAGTGAAAGTGCCCTTGCAGGCTGGTAGCCTGGAACCTGGTGCCCTGCTCCTCTTACTGTTGCAAATGTTAAGTCCCCCTTGTATACTTCAGTGTACCCACCAACCTGATCATCACACACACAAATACAAAGAATATCACATGGGTAAGCAATTTTCTTTTTTCTTTTGTTTTCTACTGACAAAAATTCTATAATACACATTTAAAAAAAGATGTATCATATGCCTAATTACGATTATATTGTGGTTTTTTAGTTATGATCAATTGTTATATTTGTTATAATTTAATTATGACTCATTATAGTGTCAGTTATGACTTAAATATGATGTATTGCGATTATTATTTTGGTTACGATATAGGTTTTTGATTATGCCTGAAGTGTTGCTTAGTTATTACTTATTTTTTGTGTTGATTATGACTTATTATGACGTTGGTTTATGATTTGTTGTGGTTATTATTTTAGTTATGACCAAAGACATCTTTGATTATATCTAGTGGTAATTGTGTGTTTTTTAGTTATGACATAAAGTGATTTAGTTATGATATTTGTGATATTATTTAACACTAGAAATTGTTATAACTTGTATATGATCCACACACACAAAAAAAAAAAAAAAAAAAAAAAACCCTTTTTTTTTCTTTTTTTTTTGTAATTTTTTAAGAAGGTCCCTTTTTTTTTTTTTTTTTTTTGACAGTTTGGTTTAGGCTTTGTTTGATCTTGAATTTTTAGAGAAATTTGTACCCAAGCCTTGCTTTTTCCCAATGTATTAGCAAGGAGAAACATGTGAGTCCCACGACACTAACACCAGTAGTGTCTACTGTGGGGCTCAAAAACCTCTCACAACAGAGTATTGGAGTCTAGACGACTGAAGAAAAATTCATTTCTTTTGTTCTTTATCTTTTCTCTTAACAAACTCATAATATAAAAACAACTTTAATGAATTTGTGACATATAAAACTACAAAAGGAATTTGTGATATACATGCATTTCCTTTTTAAAAAGCACACCTTTTTTTGTTTTGTTTTTTATCCTCCTTTTTCTCTTTGCCTGATGATGAAGTACCCCCAAAGTCTTGTAATCTTTATGGCCCAACTTTTGAATTCTCAATCTCTCAAATGAGGTTTCACATGCTCACATAATTGGTGGGGATTGAGAGTTACTTAAAAGAACCAATTTTTATTTTTAAATCATGCGATCAAATATTTAAAATTTGACATTTGTTAAAAAGAAAAGAAAAACACAGAAAAGAGGAAGAAGAAAAGAAGTACCTCCTACTTCATTTCTCTCTACCCTTTCCTTCTATTTTTGCCTTATAAATTCTTTCACAAATTAAATATCCGAACACTTTCCTTAAAGTTGTTTGACAAATTTGCTTTGGGACAGAATAAGTGTGATTTTTGGGCTGATGTATACTATTGGATCTACACTTGAATTCAGCAACTCAACTTTCACCAAAAAAAACAAAAAAACTAACCTAATCTCAAAACTAAAGTCCATTTCCAATAGGAAGTTCTTGTGAGCCCACATGTGATTCTTAACACAATGACCACAAATGAAATTAATTATAAAAAAAAAAAAAAAAAATTGAAAATGAAGACAAAATATAAAATAAAGTAGATTACCTCTCCATTGAGATACCAAGGATGCCATGGAGTCTTAAGATGAAGCTTCATCTTATTAATAGAATACTTGGTTGAAGTCACTGGTATCCTTCCATCTATGTCACCGCTGCAACCAACCAATAGAAATGTACTCAATAATTTAGATTTTCACTATATCCAAAAATAATGGAGATATAGTCTAATTGTTTCAATGTGTCATTCATAACAATTTGATTATTTTAATTCATTTATAACTTTTCCCTCGTTCAATTGTTTTCGGTTTGTTTTCAACGAAAAGTGAAATATTTCATCAAAATTAAGAGGAGGACCGAAATGACTACAACCAGAAGGCATAGCTTAGTAGCACATATATCTCAATTCGCACAAGTAAAAATTTAGTATACAGGTGATATGATGTAGCAGTAGCACAAACTTTGGATTTCAAAAAATAACAAATTCCTCATTTTCTCGATCCAAACTGAAAAGGTAAATCACTTATTATTCGGATTTTTCTATAAAAATCAACTCAACGTGATTATTTTGTTGGAGTTCTTGCCTGATCTAGATTGTAAGGCATAGAGTAATGGTTACGTCAAAAATCCTAGCTCTGTCCTTCAAGGGCATAGCATGCATCTAAGTACCACTGAATTTTGATTTTGATTTTTTTTTTATTTAAAAAAACGCCAGTATAGAAATTCTATGACAAGGGGGGATGCGCCAAAAAAAAAAAAAATGTGGATAAATGATTACTTGGTTATATATATTGAAAAATATGTGTTTGACAACATAAATAACGAGGTTGTCTGGTAACGTTTTAAAAAATATGAAAACTTGTTAGTGGACAATTGTAGAATTGTAAATATATACTTCTTTTTTTTGGGTTAAAGGAGTAGTAATTAATGTCTTTTTGTTTTTACATATGCCATTTGATTAGTTCAAATTGCTTTGTTAATATTACTAAGAATGTAAGAAAATATAGTTCATCATATGAAAGTTGATTCCAATTTACATTTTGTAAATTTAAAAATATAACCTATGAAATTAATTACTACTAGTTGATGATGACCCTACTAAATGATATTCTTGATCACACTACAATTATCTCTGCATGTGATGTAGGCATTGTGAATCTTATATAGTTATAATTATTAGATTAAAACTATATCTAAATAATGGCATTCAAATGATATTTTATTTTAAAATATAATTATTACATGTGAATAACATCATAACATTCAATTTTTATTCCATGTTGTAGTAGTTAGAGATTGAGTTGTGAACGTAGAAACTAGGGAGAGAGTAATCAAGGGGTCAGTCCATCTATTATGAGCATTTTTCACTTTAAAAAGGTGAAGTCTTACGTATATCATGTATTTGGACCACAATAGGTCCATAGTTCAAAGTTGTAAAGGGTTTAAAATGAACAGTAATAATAATATTATTTGGAGGGGTAAAGTTATGTTAATGGGTCAATAATTTGAGAAGGTTGGAGAGTGTGTAACAGGGTGAGGGTGGAGCAATTGGTACAGAAGAAGGAAATAATAGTGCAATCAAATGGGCAACGTATCCTCCCAATCCCCAAAACATTCTCTCTTGAACCTTGGGAATGAGGCTCTATTTATATGCTTTTCTTTGATACCAAAATATACCAAGTGACCAAATAGTGTGGCAACATGTGTCGTAGGATATTCCATCTTGAACCACTAGGCCTTGGTAGACATGTGTCCCTTAACGTGTACTATTTGTTTGGTATAAAATCTCAGCGAGTGTCACTATACTATCTGTTTGGCACGAGTCTCAGCATATACTTTTTTGGTACAAACCTCAGTTGGTGTTCTAGTTGCCGCAACACCTACTAATTTTTTTTAGTAGCCAAAAAGCTTGACTTTCAGCGACCAAACTGTTTTTAGTCGCTAAAACACGTAGAATCGGCGACCAAACTATTTTTTAGTCGCCAAAAGCTATACTTTTGGCTACTAAATGTTTTTAGTCGCCAAAAACCTTAACCTTTGGCTACTAAAATTTTTTTAGTCGCTAAAACCCCTATATTCGGCGACTAAACTGACTTTTAGTCGCTAAAACCCTTATATTTGGCGACTAAAGTCTTTTAGTCGGCAAAAGTGACCAATTTTGGCGACTAATTCCATTTTAGTCGCCAATTCTACTACTTTCAGCGATGAAAAATCCAGTTTTAGTCGCCAAATCTGCTTTTTGTCGTAGTGAACTGTTTTCGGTTTGTTTTCAACGAAAAGTGAAATATTTCATCAAAATTAAGAGGAGGACCGAAATGACTACAACCAGAAGGCATAGCTTAGTAGCACATATATCTCAATTCGCACAAGTAAAAATTTAGTATACAGGTGATATGATGTAGCAGTAGCACAAACTTTGGATTTCAAAAAATAACAAATTCCTCATTTTCTCGATCCAAACTGAAAAGGTAAATCACTTATTATTCGGATTTTTCTATAAAAATCAACTCAACGTGATTATTTTGTTGGAGTTCTTGCCTGATCTAGATTGTAATGCATAGAGTAATGGTTACGTCAAAAATCCTATCTCTGTCCTTCAAGGGCATAGCATGCATCTAAGTACCACTGAATTTTGATTTTGATTTTTTTTTTATTTAAAAAAACGCCGGTATAGAAATTCTATGACAAGGGGGGATGTGCCAAAAAAAAAAAAATGTGGATAAATGATTACTTGGTTATATATATTGAAAAATATGTGTTTGACAACATAAATAACGAGGTTGTCTGGTAACGTTTTAAAAAATATGAAAACTTGTTAGTGGACAATTATAGAATTGTAAATATATCCTTCTTCTTTTTTTGGGTTAAAGGAATAGTAATTAATGTCTTTTTGTTTTACATATGCCATTTGATTAGTTCAAATTGCTTTGTTAATATTACTAAGAATGTAAGAAAATATAGTTCATCATATGAAAGTTGATTCCAATATACATTTTGTAAATTTAAAAATATAACCTATGAAATTAGTGACTACTAGTTGATGATGACCCTACTAAATGATATTCTTGATCACACTACAATTATCTCTGCATGTGATGTGGGCATAGTGAATCTTATATAGTTGTAATTATTAGATTAAAACTATATCTAAATAATGGTATTCAAATGATATTTTATTTTAAAATATAATTATTACATGTGAATAACATCATAACATTCAATTTTTATTCCATGTTGTAGTGGTTAGAGATTGAGTTGTAAACCTAGAAGCTAGGGTGAGAGTAATCAAGGGGTTAGTCCATCTATTATGAGCATTTTTCACTTTAAAGAAGTAAAGTCTTACGTATATCATGTATTTGGACCACAATAGGTCCATAGTTCAAAGTTGTAAAGGGTTTAAAATGAACAGTAATAATAATATTATTTGGAGAGGTAAAGTTATGTTAATGGGTCAATAATTTGAGAAGGTTGGAGAGTGTGTAACAGGGTGAGGGTGGAGCAATTGGTCCAGAAGAAGGAAATAATAGTGCAATCAAATGGGCAACGTATCCTCCCAATCCCCAAAACATTCTCTCTTGAACCTTGGGAATTAGGCTCTATTTATATGCTTTTCTTTGATACCAAAATATACCAAGTGACCAAATAGTGTGGCGACATGTGTCGCAGGATATTCCATCTTGAACCACTAGGCCTTGGTAGACATGTGTCCCTTAACGTGTACTATTTGTTTGGTATAAAATCTCAGCGAGTGTCACTATACTATCTGTTTGGCACGAGTCTCAGCATATACTTTTTTGGTACAAACCTCAGTTGGTGTTCTAGTTGCCGCAACACCTGCCTTCTCAGCTCGATTTCCCAAAACATGTACTCTCAGGACTTATGACCTGCTATTAGCCATACTGGTGTCTACCTCAATGACTCTTTTACCTTTAGTCACTTAACCACAAACTCCCTAATTTCCCAAGACACAGGTCACAACAAAGGTTGTGCCTCGTACCAAACTCAATGGGGCTTTCTTTGTCTTACTTGTGCAACCAAGTCAAGTCCTTAACCTAGGTATATAGAAAGGGAGTCCCTTACTTTTGGGCTACCCTGTTCCCATCTTCACGAGGTCGCTGTGGTATACTGGTATTTTTGGTACTTGCTATCAACTCCAACCAGTAAGCGTTGGGGCTACTATTAGCACCATGCTATATGTGTTTCGGGCCTACTATCAGCCCTTGGCTATTAATGCCGTGGTGCCTACTATCAATGCCAAGTATTTGTACATTATCTTGTATGGAGGAGGCCTATCTCGAAGGCTATTGTGCTTCAGAAGGTAGTTGCAGAGGTTGGAATTGCTACGACTCCCTTTCCCTTAGCAAGTGACAACAAGTGACAAGGCGGCGTCGTAATAAAAAATGGTGGCGCAGAGGTAGGGTCTCCCTCAGCAAGTGAAGCTCGGCAAGTAGTACCTCAGCAAGTTCCCTTGGTCACTTCTTGGTTTGGGCCATTTGGTCCGAATGAGTCGAATTTGGTTCGGTCTTCTGATTGGCCCATTTTTGAGTTTTGACCCCTATTCATTTAGTGATACTTATTCGCCTAATTGAGGCGACTTCAATAATTAAGTCAGTGTTTTAATTTCTCTCCTTCTACAAAAGTGAATGTCATTTTCCTAACAGGAATGGAAAGCATATATACGACATGATTTTACCCACTACCATTATAAATAAAAGTAATAATAGTGAGGACAACAATGATGAATGATGATGAATAGAAAAGAAGGAAGGGTGTGTGTTTACCTAAATACCCACACTCGAAGTCCGTTTTCCATGAACTCTTGGAGGAGGGGAATAATTGTTGATGAACTATCTTCCCAATGTCTGATTACTTCACTGCAATTATTTTGTTGAGTTTCATTTCAGCTAATAATTTCATACTCTTCTTGGGCACAAGCAGAGACAGAGAGCCAAACACATAGTAGTACATACCTGCATGGTTCCCAATCATAACTGAGTTTGGTTACATTGGCATGTAGGGCCTCTTGAACATCAGCACGATTCAAATAAGCATACACATAATAATCACTGCATGGATCAACATTCAACACCTGCAACAAATATTCACCCTTAGAGGTCTATGAAATATGGATAAAGGATATGATAAGATAGGAATACTATAACATTTAAAGAAAAAAGAGAAAATTACCCTTAGTTGTAATTTGCAAAAATTATTACATATGGATGGAAAAGTTTATAATTTTAATTAGTAATATTGATAAAGTTTATCATCAATTTGTAATTAATTTTCAAATTTTATCCTTATCCGAAATTTCTCCTAAAAAAATGTTAATTAATAAAAGGTTTAAACTTATGGTGTCATATATTATTTGGTCTAAGGTTTAATCTTTTTTGGTGATAAAACACGGGCTGAAAAGTAGTCAAAAAAAGTAGTCAGCGTTGGAAAAGTTGCAAGCGGTTGGCAGTAGTGGCCGGTAGCTGCAGCTAGTGGCGGTGAGATAGACAGATAAGTGAATAGACAGATGATACATGTACAAATATGTGGGATTTGGATATATATGTGACACGTGTACAGATATGTGACATTTGGACATACAACAGATGGGTATCCTTTTGGATAAATCAATGTCCTTTTGAGCTAAAAAGATTTAAGTTTGGACCAATAGGCATAAAAATTACAGAAATAAACGTTTGCCTTGAGTACTATTAAAAAAATAAGATATTAATATGGTTTAGATATGGTCCTAAAATATTTGTATATATAATTTTTAGTATTATATTATACAGAGTTAATTACACTGACACCTTTATACTTTCAACAAAATCTCATTTTGGTCATTTCAATTTCATTGTGATAATCAGCTTTTTACATTTTAAATTAAGGCCTCGTTTGGGAACAGACAAATTTAGTAATTTTTTGGCTATTTGGCTAAAATATAAGCTAAAAAAAATTAGTATGTTTGAGATGACTTTTTGACTTTTTACGAAAAGATGTGCAAAAAGTAAGAGAAAAGAGAATCTTTGACTTTTTGGCATGTGTTGTTGGTTTTTTGACTTTTTTAGTAACTTTTTGACTTTTTGACTAAATGGGAGGGTTCCCAAACGAGGCCTAAGTTGCAATGTTACTCGTCCATCCATCTATCATTAAGGAGATTGGAAAAAAATTAAAAATAAAAATCACCAAAGTAATATTTTGATGAAAGTGTAAGAATTTAAATGATAAAAGTATAAAAGTATTAATGAGTCGAAAAAAATGTCACCTCTAACTCACATAATAAGTTCCGTAAGCCTTACTAACATTAAATGAAAGAAAAAGTAAGGTTACAATTTTATTCAATTTAAAATATAAAGGATTGAACTTTATAATTAAAAATGCAAGGGTTTAAGTGGGTGAAGTAGGTGGAGGTGGTAGTGGTGTAGTGGGTTAGGTTTAGTGGAGTAGGTTTAAGTGGGTGAAGTAGGTGGAGAGTAGGTGGATTTTAACATTTTATTTTAAAATATAATTATTACATGTGAATAACATCATAACATTCAATTTTTATTCCATGTTGTAGTAGTTAGAGATAGAAGCAAGGGTGAGAGTAATCAAGGGGTCAGTCCATCTATTATGAGCATTTTTCACTTTAAAGAAGTAAAGTCTTACGTATATCATGTATTTGGACCACAATAGGTCCATAGTTCAAAGTTGTAAAGGGTTTAAAATGAACAGTAATAATAATATTATTTGGAGGGGTAAAGTTATGTTAATGGGTCAATAATTTGAGAAGGTTGGAGAGTGTGTAACAGGGTGAGGGTGGAGCAATTGGTACAGAAGAAGGAAATAATAGTGCAATCAAATGGGCAACGTATCCTCTCAATTCCCAAAACATTCTCTCTTGAACCTTGGGAATGAGGCTCTATTTATATGCTTTTCTTTGATACCAAAATATACCAAGTGACCAAATAGTGTGGCAACATGTGTCGTAGGATATTCCATCTTGAACCACTAGGCCTTGGTACACATGTGTCCCTTAACATGTACTATTTGTTTGGTATAAAATCTCAACGAGTGTCACTATACTATATGTTTGGCACGAGTCTCAGCATATACTTTTTTGGTACAAACCTCAGTTGGTGTTCTGGTTGTTGCGACACCTGCCTTCTCAGCTCGATTTCTCAAAACATATACTCTCAGGACTTATGACCTGCTATTAGCCATACTGGTGTCTACCTCAGTGACTCTTTTACCTTTAGTCACTTAACCACAAACTCCCTAATTTTCCAAGACACAGGTCACAACAAAGGTTGTGCCTCGTACCAAACTCAATGGGGCTTTCTTGGTCTTGTGCAACCAAGTAGTGTCCTTAACCTAGGTATATGGAAAGGGAGTCCCTTACTTTCAGGCTACCTTGTTCCCATCTTCATGAAGTCGCTGTGGTATACTGGTATTTTTGGTACTTGCTATCAACTCCAACCAGTAAGCGTTGGGGTTGCTATTAGCACCATGCTATATGTGTTTCGGGCCTACTATCAGCCCTTGGCTATTAATGCCTTGGTGCCTACTATCAATGTCAAGTATTTGTACATTATCTTGTATGGGGAAGGCCTATCTTGAAGGCTATTGTGACTTAGAAGGTAGTTGCAGAGGTTGGAATTGCTACGACTCCCTTTCCGTTAGCAAGTGACAACAAGTGACAAGGCGGCATCGTAACAAAAAATGGTGGCGCAGAGGTAGGGTCTCCCTCAGCAAGTGAAGCTCGGCAAGTAGTACCTCAGCAAGTTCCCTTGGTCACTTCTTGCTTTGGGCCATTTGGTCTGAATGAGTCGAATCTGGTTCAGTCTTCTGATTGGCCCATTTTTGAGTTTTGACCCCTATTCATTTAGTGATACTTATTCGCCTAATTGAGGCAACTTCAATAATTAAGTCAGTGTTTTAATTTCTCTCCTTCTACAAAAGTGAATGTCATTTTCCTGACAGGAATGGAAAGCATTGTGAATGTCATTTTCCTAACAGGAATGGAAAGCATATATACGACATGATTTTACCCACTACCATTATAAATAAAAGTAACAATAGTGAGGACAACAATGATGAATGATGATGAAGAGAAAAGAAGGGTGTGTGTTTACCTAAATACCCACACTCGAAGTCCATTTGCCATGAACTCTTGGAGGAGGGGAATAATTGTTGATGAACTATCTTCCCAATGTCTGATTACTTCACTGCAATTATTTTGTTAAGTTTCATTTCAGCTAATAATTTCATACTCTTCTTGGGCACAAGCAGAGACAGAGAGCCAAAAACATAGTAGTACATACCTGCATGGTTCCCAATCATAACTGAGTTTGGTTACATTGGCATGTAGGGCCTCTTGAACATCAGCACGATTCAAATAAGCATACACATAATAATCACTGCATGGATCAACATTCAACACCTGCAACAAATATTCACCCTTAGAGGTCTATGAAATATGGATAAAGGATATGATAAGATAGGAATACTAAAACATTTAAAGAAAAAAGAGAAAATTACCCTTAGTTGTAATTTGAAAAAATTATTACATATGGATGGAAAAGTTTATAATTTTAATTATTAATATAGATAAAGTTTATCATCAATTTGTAATTAATTTTCAAATTTTATCCTTATTTGAAATTTCTCCTAAAAAAATGTTAATTAATAAAAGGTTTAAACTTATGGCATCATATATTATTTGGTCTAAGGTTTAATCTTTTTTGGTGATAAAACACGCGCTGAAAAGTAGTAAAAAAAAGTAGTCAGCGTTGGAAAAGTTGCAAACGGTTGGCAGTAGTGGCCGGTAGCTGCAGCTAGTGGTGTTGAGATAGACAGATAGGTGAATAGATAGATGATACATGTACAAATATGTGGCATTTGGATATATATGTGACACGTGTACATATAGGTGACATTTGGACATATGACAGATGGGTATCGTTTTGGATAAATCAATGTCCTTTTGAGCTAAAAAGATTTAAACTCGGACCAATAGGCATAAAAATTACAGAAATAAACGTTTGGCTTGAGTACTATTACAAAAATAAGATATCAATATGGTTTAGATATGTTCCTAAAATATTTGTATATATAATTTTTAGTATTATATTATATAGAGTTAATTACACTTTCACCTTTATACTTTCAACAAAATCTCATTTTAGTCATTTCAATTTCATTGTGATAATCAACTTTTTACATTTTAAATTAAGTTGCAATGTTACTCGTCCATCCATCTATCATTAAGGAGATTGGAAAAAAATTAAAAATAAAAATCACCAAAGTAATATTTCGTTGAAAGTGTAAGAATTTAAATGATAAAAGTATAAAAGTATTAATGAGTCGAAAAAAATGTCACCTCTAACTCACATAATAAGTTCCATAAGCCTTACTAACATTAAATGATAGAAAAAGTAAGATTACAATTTTATTCAATTTAAAATATAAAGGATTGAACTTTATAATTAAAAATGCAAGAGTATAAAATATAACGAACCCTAGTATATATAAGCTCAGAAGAAAGGTAGATTTTAAAATTGGGTTGTTTCAAAAAATATTTTCTTCTAAAAAATAGTTTTCGACAACAAGCTCTTGGTAAACCAAAGAAAAGGACACCAAACAAACACAACTTCTGTTGCGCAAATAAATTTGTTTTTGGGTTTGGTGTGTACATTTTGAGAAGATAATCTATATAAAAAAAATTAGGTTAAAAAAAATATTCATAATTACATGTTCAGATCATGTGTCTTATAAAATTGAATGGCAATTATAGTTTTCAGAATAAATAGTTTAGTATTTTTTTCTAAGATAAATGTATTTCAATTATTTGATTATAAATGTTCGATTAATCTATTTTTTTTTAATACATGAATGCTCTTCTCAATTTTTCTTAAAATATGAATAATTCGAATAATTCAAAATTAACCTTCAAAATAGGTCCACCAAAGCCCAATTGTACCTCTTCAACTACATCACCAATGGTAGGGGAGTTAAACCAGCTTAATTTATCAGGCCTCATGTGGTTTCACAAAGATGTTTCTATATTCTTAATGAGAGTTATCACAATTCGAAGAAATATTTGTAAGAAAATACATAGAACCAAAAGGCTTGTGGGTTGAAGTATTATGATAAAAAATAATAATTGTAAAGAGTAATGCTAAGTTCACTATAATGCTCCGTTTGTTTTGATAGAAAACATTTTTCAGAGAATACTTTTTGTACTTTTTAGCGTTTGATACAACGAAAAATAAAAGTCAACATAAAACATTTTTTATGGTTAATAAAAAATAAGTCTATTTGATCAGAAAATAGTTTTTACCTTTAAAAAGCAAAAAACGCTTTCCGAATCAAATTTTTATAAATGCCACCACATTATCACCATTACCATTACCATCACCAACACACCACCACCACCATTACCACTGTCGCCGTTGCTGCCACCTCCACCGCCCTAAACCCATTGCCACTCAGTGCCGGCTTTTGGCACAAGTAGAAGAAGTGGCCGCTTTGGGCCCCCGCAAATTGGTTGGAAAAAAGACAACAAAAAAATTGAAAAAAATATCAAATAAGTCTTATTTTTTTTGTTATACTTGTTCATAAAAAGAAACCCTAAAAGAAGTTCTGATATTTAAAACTAATTGATGGTTGTTTTCCAAATGTATGTATTATTTATAGAATATTATTGATTTTAGTTATTACTTACAATTGTTTATGGGAAAAAGAAATGTTTCAAATTGAAAATTGATTAAATCATACATTCAATGAACTATGTTACAAGAAAAGATTGAATGAGTTTGGTTAATAAATTGGCTAAAACAAGCTTGATTAGTAATTTTGCTGCTAAAAATGTAGAAGTTCAAAATTTTTAAATAAAATTTGAATTACCAACTAATCTCATTTTGCCAAAAATAAGTAAAAAAATCAATCCATATGTGTGTGTAGCCCTCCTAGAAGCATGCTTTGTGCCTAAAAAAAAAAGGGCAGAGCCGGCCCTGCCGCAACTATAACCTTCACCACATTACTATCACGACCACTATTACCACCACCACATCACTACTGCTGCACAACTATCGCCACCACCACCCTAACACCTTCACTGCCACTTCTACCCTGTCGTTGCCACCGCTACCAATAATGTACATTAGTTTCAAAAATACAACTAAATATAAAAAAATATTTTCTAAAATTGTTTTTATGAAAAAAAATTCAAAATTTTTAAAAAAAAATTCTACCGAAATAACGGAGCGGTAAAATAAAATGACATTGAGTATTCTTTTTTTGAACAACAATGAGTATTCTTGTAACATTAAAATTGAATAGTAAAATGTATAGGAGAGAGAGAGAGAGAGAGAGAGAGAGACTTACAGAAGCCTTTTTGGGAAATGGAGTGATATTGAAAGAGGTGCATAAAGGAGCATAGATGTTATAGTGTTAGAATTTACCATTCACACTCACCTACTACACTCCACTACTCACACTCACCTACTACACTCCACTACTCCTCACCTACTACCCAAACCCTCTCCTATATAATGCCACTCTGATTTGTAATGAAAAATATCAATCTTGTAAGATATCAATCAATCAATAATACATAATTTCTTACATATAGATATCAATATTGGCAATATCTTTGCTAGCTTCAGTAGTTGCAGTATCGCATTCATTGGACTGAGTGGTGGCATTGGGTGAGAAATCACAGTATTTCTGGATTTCATATGAAGTTTGGTCGGAAATGAGAGCATGGCTTGCAAAGTAATCATACATTCCTTTCGTATCTGTCTCATCATTTATTACTGCATTCCCAATCTGCACTTCGTACATTACACACAGCACCAATCACCAACCTACTACTACTTTATGTACAATTACACTAATATGCTATTTTTATCATGCAAATTCCAATTTATCATTCCATCAATTTCATCAATTTTTCATTTCTTATATTCGGATTTAAGATTTGAGGAAGAATTTGTATAGGGAAATATTTTATTCACAATTTTTTTTTTTTTTTTTTTTTTTTTCAAATCTTAAATCAAAATATAACTATGTAGACAAATTTTTTTCATTGATTTTGGTTTTATTGAATCTACAAGCAAAAATAGCATTTATTGTTTAGATTCATATGAAAAGTGACCCAAAAAAAGGGGTAAAATTTGTGTTATGATATATGACAGCTTTCTTTCATGATGTATGATATGTAGCTTTGGCTTCTTCTTCTTCTTATTTATTTATTTATTATTTATTTTTAAATATAATTACACTCGCTAAAACAATAATGCTACGTCCTTAAAAATATGTCGACAATTGTCATAATATTAAATTAGTAAATTACACTGATCTCCCCTAATGTTATGAAAAAATACAATCAGCACTACAGGTTGGCATAGTGATTGTATTGAGCTCCTTTAAGGTTTTAATTCAGAAAACGTTTAATTTTCTTTTCATTAAAAATTCATTAATCATATGGATAAAAAATGATGTTGTCATCTCTTTTACATTCAAATATATATTTTTATCTTATTTATCATTGTGTTTTTACACTATTTGCATTAGTTTTCGTCCCTTAACCATACTGAAAGGAATGTTAGTGTAATAATGCCAAAACTATGCAACTTACTATATTGTCTTCAACCTCAAGGAGGGTCATGTGTAATTTACCCTATGAAATTTGTAGATAGGATTCATTTTGAGTATCACCCACACTATACTAGTCACATTTCTAAGATTTATTTTATTTTATTTATTTACTTATTTTTGGATGTCTAGCATTCTATGTTTCTTTCATATAATTATATGTTATTAGCAAGGAACAAATAGTACCACTCACAGGTGGAAGTTGGCAAAGGTCCAGGCTGGTCAGTTTTGTGTGGCCTGAGTGTCTGATTGGACTATGCACGAATTATGTGACAATAGAATTCTGTAGTTTTCCTATTTGGAATAAACAATATTTGTAAGTTTGTTAGATGAAGATACGGAAATATTGTTCAATAATTGTACTCTTGTTCTTGTAATTTGCTAGGTAGAATATGCACTGGCCTATGCTTCTATTCTGTCCATATTAGTCCAACTTCCAATTATTTCTCCATGGACAGGACACATGGATGGACCACCCTTGTTTGTCTATCTGTGAGCCGTGTTACATGCACAAAAATATATGCAGAACAAAAATAAAGGTATCAACATCACCTCTTGTTTTTGCTTTATGCACCTAATTAAACATTTTAGAATTGTAATTGCTAGGGACCTAGTTTCAAGTGAGAGAGAGAGAGAGAGAGAGAGAGAGAGAGGGACTTACAATGATCCCTTTTAGGTTGATAAAGGTGTTGTTAGGGCCCTTGTTATAGTGAAGGATAGTATGTGCAAGCTGAGGCACATAATGGCCAGCATAGCTTTCACCAGCAATGTAAAAATCCCTGGTTTTGTACTCAGGAAACCTCTCCAACCAATTCAACAAGAACACATAATTATCTGAAGCTGTTCTTTTGTCACCCCCACTCACATAATCTGATGTTGTATTCGAGTATGAAAACCCGACTCCAGCTGGGGACTCCAAGAACAATACATTTGCAGCTGTAGTAAACACCCCACACTTGAATATATAAGAAAATTTAGATATTTAAACACATGGTTCAAAAAAAAAAATGTATAGAAGAGAGGAAAAAAAATTATCAATGTGCGAGTGTGACATTCATTTTGATATACCTAAAATAAAAATGAAGTGCACATTGATTTTTTTTTATATTTTTTGTACATGTAATTTTTCTGAAAGATGATCATATACCTTTGTTCCATGCAAATCTATTTGTGTAGAGAGTTTTGCCATCACTATGGACACGGAATGGTCCAAGCTCTTGCATTGCTCCATAGGCAAGAGAAGAACAACCTGGGCCTGTGTTCATATCAAGTAGTAACATTAAGCTACCTCGTTTTATTAACCTTTTAGGGGAAAAAAATGTAATGTTGTGATGATTAAATTTTTATACAAAATGTGCATATCATACTATATCTTCCTGATATCTTGCTGCATAAATACAATAAACTACTCAAAATTCTAGCAACTATGTCTATCTTTATTGTCCATGTATTGTACGACATAGTATATGAATGTGACATATAAAGTATCATCTCTGGTGATAAGTAAATTTGATACGAAAGTTAATGAGAAGAAGGGTTATGTAATTAATACCCGCTAACTATTAGTTAGAAGCTGATAAAAAAAAAACTATTAGTTAGAAAAATGCAATGTTTTAATCGATGAGGAAATAATTTTATTTATTTGAAATTCTTATATAATAAGAGTAGTGACATCAATAATACATCAGCACATGTAATGTAACACATATTTTGAAGCATGGGATTTAATAAGAGAAGTGCTTGTGGGTGGGTGTAGTCCCACTTCTATTTTTGATGTTTAGTCACAAATTTGCAATACAAATGTCCCAATCAATATCGGTTGGCATCAACTATATGCACATCATGATGATGATGATGATGATGATGATGATGAGCCAGCTGTGTGTTTGATTAGGTACAACTAATACATTGACTAATCTAACAAATGGGACTCTGTCTACCATTGTAGCTATTAGCACATATGTCTGTGTTGGATTTGGCTCATTTCCTTTTCAGTCGGAATCTATACGTCTCAACTTCATAAAAATAGGTGATAATTGATCCTGAAAGACTCATATAACTATTTTTGTTTTTTTTTTTTTTTTAATTTGAGATATTACATCAAGACCCTTCAACTATTAGCAAATATCATTTTATTTTTCTCATTAATGAATTTACATTTTGACCCCCCACTACTACAAAAATGTATCACCTTTACCCTTGTGACCCCCTCCAGACCCCCTCTAAAAAGAGTATATTTAAACGATTTTCATAATTGATGAAGTCAATAGATACATGCTCATATATGAGAGGTAAAATAATATTTACCAAGAATTAAGAGGGTGTTAGTGTAATTGACCCTTTTAATTTTAAATCCAAATGATTGGAATTTAATAATATATTATAAAAAATACTATCTATACATAAAATTTATAAAAAATAAATAAATTATAATGATAATGTTACAATGCCATTTTGATAAATATATTGAAGAGTAAATGAATCCACATGTGTTTCTGTTTGAGTTATCATCATTGCTATTAACATTAGTGCCTCCATTAAACAACAATCATGTATAGAAAATTGCAAAAAATTGAATTAATAAGAAAAAATAATTATATAATCCAAATTCTTTTTATGTGTTATTCTATACCACCTAAAACGAATTTTAGCCGAGATCAAGGGTTTAGTTGAGTCACCCCATTATCAAGGGTTATACTTGAATTCAAATTTTATTATTGCAAATATATTTTTTCTTTTTTCTCCTTCCTTTCCTTTTCTCAACCCCCTTCCCTCCCCCCAAAAATAGCCACACATTATTATTATTATTATTATTATTATTATTATTATTATTATTATTTTGTGTGTGTCTATTTTTGTTTTTCTTTTTTCTATACATATAGGTGCGGCTAATACCATTCAAATATTTGTTATTTGACCCCCGCTTATACAAAAAGAAAAGATTTATTACAAATTCATTCATTCATAAAATTTCAATTTTGTTTCATCCCTTGCCTTTCAAGCTTTAACTTTAACCCTAGCCTTAGGTAAGCCGCCACCACCCACCACCACTAGCTCCAGCTAGCCTCCTTCCACCATCCATAGATCCGGTTACCACGCTTCAAGTCCTGTCCAGCCTCCCTTATCTCTTTATAGTGATGAGTGGTGTTAAGATTTGAGAGGGGTGAAATTAATTTTCGTAAGTGCAACAAATTTATATAAAATTTGAAATTAACAAATGCTATATATAATCTTATTTTTTTATCCTGTTTTTTCAGTACTTAGTGAGTGAGTCTCCCATTATTTTATTTTTAAAAATAAGAAAATATAATTAAAAAATGAGATTATAGATTAATGAGAATAAGGCAACGAGGGTGCAAAGAAAATGTAGCATCATGGCATTATGATTCAAAAAATTGAAAAAAAACAAAAACAAAAAAAGGCTGCAACATGAACGGCGCGAAATCCTCGATGAGTGAAGTAAGGGATATGGATACCAGGTATTCCGCATTTAGCGGGAGGCAAAAAGGTCATGACATTTATTAGCTGTAACTACAACTAAAATACTGTTCGCACAATAAATCAATCATACCCATTATAATAATATTAATGTAGAGGTTTCTATTTAATCTATATCGAATTTAAGAGTGTTGTTAGATTTTGTAAATTTATTATGAAATTCTCATTGATAATTCGCTGTTAGGGGTGTGGAATGGCCAATGGCCCGCAGCCCGTGGGCAGCCCGTGGGCAGCACGAAGCTCGCTGGTAGCTCGAGATGAGTTCAATCCGTTTAGGTCCGTTTGGGCCTAGGCCCAATCTTAGTTCGAGCCCTTGGGTTAGGGTTTGGGCTGGTGTTTTGAAGCCCGGCCCGGCCTGGCTCGTGGGCCAGCCTATTGGCCAGTTTAAGGCCCACTTAGGGCCCGACCTGAAGCCCGGTCCACCCGAAACCTAGTGTATTTTTTAATAAAAAATAATAAAATTTTGGTAAAAAAAATTAAAAAAAATAAAAAAATGGTTAGGTTTGCCCAAGCCCCGCTCAAGCCTGAGGCCAGTCCCAAACTCATTGGGCCGGCCCATCCAAGGTCCGAACACCCCTAGGTTTGGGTTTAATTTTTTGGCCCTTGGCTCGGCCCGAATTTTGGTTGGAGCCCACAAGACCTGATATGGGCCAAGCTAGATTTACACCCTATTCAATGTGTAAGGCTCATAAAATATTTTATCTCTATAAAAAATTCTATTGATCAGATAGTGATAGTTATTTGATCAAATCATATTTATGTCAACAATAACTATGATTTTTAAAAATTATTTTTTTACATAAATGTGATTTAATCTAATTGCTATTAATATCTAATCATCGTAATTTTTAGTAAGGATAAAATACTCAATGATTTTTACACGTTAAACGATTTGGATTATCAATATGAACTCCGTAGCAGATCCACAAAAGTCCAACAACACCTGGAAGAGAAGTCTCTTCCAAATATTAGGCCTTGTTTGGCATAAATTAAAAAAGTCAAAAAAGTTAAAAAGTCATTATTCTATTTAAGGTCAAGTTTGACATGTGTCTAAAAAGTCAAAAAGTTAAAAAGTTACGTAAAAAGTTAAAAAGTTATCACTATTCATCAAAAGTCAAAAAGTACGACTACACAACTCCCAATCTTAATTTTTCCCTATACATTAATTTATACAATTTTTTAATACACATTTTTTCATAAAAAGTCAAAAAGTTAACCCAAACAACTATATTTTTTTCCTCAACTTTTTAGTCCAAAAAGTTAAAAAGTACACTTATTTAGGACATCCCAAATAACCCCTAATAACACACAACTGGTCAAATTTTCAATATATACATTCATACATCTATTATTGTTAGATCAAGATTCATGCAATCACAACTTTCAAGCGTGTCCGACTTGTGCTTCTCTCCTCTTATTTTTGGGTTTTAGGTTTCTATTAGACTTTCCTTAATTACTAATCCAATCTGGTTTTTTCCTAATTGTATTAAGTATTCTAACAATATTTTGACTAGTCAAAGTCAAAATTATTTTGCCAAAATCATTTTTAAGTTGCTAGATTATCAAAAATTATATTTTGATCATATCACTCGAATGATTACTTGTCATTTTAACACAATTAAATTTCATCTCACAATTATCTCAGACTACTTTATGAATTAATGCTCAACTGTAATTTAACCGAACTATTTCTCTATCATTGATTTAGACCAATATCAAGTTTTTCGTTTCTTGATTTCATATTTTTTGAAGATAGATATATTGTAATTATTGAGGTAATTGAATTTTTAATTATTTTTTAGATTTTGTAATTAGTAGAATTTTTTTTAATAGTTTTAAAACTTTTAGTTGTGAATTTTGGTTCATAAAGTAGTGAATTTTAATAGGAAAAAACATGTGTTTGGTTTGAGTTTTCTGAATTAAATTTTTTGAAAACAGAATTTTTTAGTTTTCGTATTCTTTTTTGTTTTTAGTGATTATTTTTTAAATTTTAAACATTTTTTTTTTTACTTTTTTAGATGCACCTTAGTTGGATGTATCTAAAAAGTAAAAAATTTGTGAAAAAATATTTTTTAAAATTAATAAATACATAAAAATACAAGAAATGTACTGAATTCTTGTATTTCTTTTTGTATTTTTGTTATTTAGTGAATTTTTAAAAGATTTTTTTTACAATTTTTTTACTTTTTAGGTGTATTTATGTTAGGTGTGTGTCTAAAAAATAAAAAAATTGCTTAAAATATTAAAAAAATTCAGTAAAAATAAAAAAATACGAAAAATAAAAAAATAGAAATTTCTAAAAAGTGTTTTCTGAAAAATGAAAACAAGCAAGCTGCACTTTTAGCAAAAAAATTAAATGTGGCAAAAAATGGCTTTGTGGGACCACCAAGGATCCTCTAGAGTGTTTTTTTCCTAAAGTTTCTTAAAGTGGTGTATTGTGTGATTGAGATTTAATGTTGAAAAATTGATGTGATTTGTCATTAAATCTCACCCACACAATGCACCACTTTAGAAAACTTTAAAAAAAAAACTCTAGAGGATCCTTTACTCTTGTGAGACTTGAGTAAAATTCGATGTAAGATTTGATTTTGTCATTTTTTTTTTTGCAATAAATTTAGCTCATTGTCAGAGGAGAGGGGGTTTGGTGAGGTCTAAGCACTTCTTAACTCTGACAAGCCGTTTGATTTGATCTAAACATGTTAACCCAACAATGGCCGACAACATGATACTATTAACATGAACACTTACTTGTTTAAG